CTCACATCAGCAACCCACCTTGATCGCATGTCTGCATTTCGTATGCCTCATGTTGGATGGTAGTGAACTGGGGCTAGGGGGTGTGAGGCATAGCATCAGTAGATACAGTGACATGCAAATGGCAGTGGCAGAGGAAATGGCCATGGCGTTTCTAATTACAGATGCCTACCTGGTTCCTTTGAGTGCTGAACTGCTGGCATTGACTTTTCAATTTAGGAAAATTATTAAGACAGATTATAGTTATCACTTCCTCTGAATTACATGGTGCTTTTCAAAATGCCCTTCAGTAGTTTGTTTATTGGTGTAGTAGTGTTTTCAAATTGAATAAAATTAAAACTGAAGATTTCCAGAACAATGGGCCTTACTTAAATCAACATGATTGTGTGTTTTGGAACTCAGAAATAACCCTTCTATAATTAACTCATGTTTATCTTCCACAAGAGAATATGATGAAAAACGTTTCCACTTGAGTCAGATTGCCATTGATTCAGTTCTTTACGGACAAAATACGTAATCTTTTTTTACTCTGACCCAGTGAGAGTGGCAAGTGATAAACTTTTCACCTGAGACACTCAGTGAATTAAACTTTTCCTGCACAGGAGACAATATGAACTGGCAATCAAGTGAAAAAGTCCCTTTGAACCCACTACCTTCCTTCCATCTGAGGCTGTTCGCCCAATAACTTTCAAGTGGGAGGGCAGCTGGGTTAACTCGAGATTTTTAAACTCGAGTCATATTTTCACATGGCTGCCTCATTATTTAGTTAAAAGTTGTGATTATCCAGAATACCAGACATTGTCAGATTTATATGGAGACACTAAAGCCACTTATAAAGTGTGTCGTTTTATTCTTTCAACAAATGTTTTTCGAGCATCTCTGAATATCTCTGGCACGGTTTTACATGCTGAGAAAGAGTGATGAACAATAAAAACAGGGTTCCTGTTCCCATGGAGTTAACATTCTAGTGGAGTTAGAAAACAAACAAATTATCAAAATGAGATGTTTAATGGGAAGTTTTTCTGTTGTCTTGGATTTTCAAATAAACACATAAACCAGAGAACCATAGGTAATTCTATCTCTAACTTATGAAAGGGGTTGCAGTATCATTTACTTAGGACTTGCTCAGTGTATTAGTTAGCGTACTACTCTAGATGATATAAGAAATAAACCCCAGATTTTCAATGGCTTAACACAATAATTGTAACAGTTTGATACATTAGTTACAGGCTGCTGAGTGGTATCCTCTATGTTGTGATTCAGGGAGCCAGGCTCCTTCCATTGTGTGGTTCCATCGTCCGTTAAGGACGAAGAGGCCTCTGCGGATAGTTGGAGGAAGAGGAAGGAGAGAGAGTGAATTTCCAATAGGTTCTTAATCTCCCTGCATGGAGTAACATATGTCAAGTCCATTCACATACCATTGGTGAGAACTAGTCACATGACTGTTCCTGGGTGCAAGGAGGTCTAGGAAGTGTAGTCTCTGGTTGGACAGCTGCTTCCCTATGACATCTTCATACTGTGAAGGGGGAGCACAGATTGTCGGTAGACAGTGAATGTTTCTGCCACATCAAGGGAGGCCAAAAACCTTTAGCTTATCACCCACTTCTAGCCTATACATGAGATGGTCAGAGACTGATTAGGAAGAACAGGGTGGTTTCTTGGAAGGAAAGTGTCATCATAGTCATGAGTACTTTCTCCCTTTCCTTTCCACCTACCACAGTCCAAGTGAGCTTGACTGGCTTCAATAAAACTGCACAAAGACAGAAGGGGAGGTATCTTCTATAAGGAGAGGAAGCTGATGGGTTAATCCCCACTGGCTTATGCTGAGCTCCTGACATCACATTACATCATGGAGAGGGAGGATGACTATCAAGGGAGCAAGCTGTATTTCCACTGACACAAGACAGCACCTCCTGGGTCAGAGTGTATTCTACTCTGTGAAAGGAGGCTGGGCTTTGACAGTCTTGAAAGGACTTGGCCCAAGAATACAGTCTGCTAGGAGGAGAGGACTGTGTAAGGAGGAGTCTGTGTGAGGTAATGCAAGAAAGAGGAAGACCCCGTAAAACCAAATGAGACTAACGAGGTACAGGAGTTCAGTGACAAGGGCCAGAAAGCAGAAGGGGACAAGGAAGCTGGTGATAGGGAACCCAAGGTTGAGTAAGTATATTGTTGATGTGTTGTGAGATTGTTAACTATTGTCATAGGGCAACATTTGTAGTAACTGTTAAATGTGAAACTATTTTGTTCTGTAAGCCTTCATCTTAAGTGAGAATAACAGCACAATTCGAAGAGCATAGTCAATGTCACTGAACTGTGCATGTAGAAATTTTTAAAATGGTGTATCTTTGGCTATGTGTATTTTCACCAAAAAAAAAAAAAAGGTTGAGAAGTTAGAGGGTTGACATGTTGTGGAGTTGTTAACCAATGTCATAAAACAACATGTGTACTTCTGTTTCATGAGAAACTATTTGTTCCGTAAGCCTTCACCTGAAGTACAATAAAAAAAAGAAGAAAAAAAAAGAAAGGAACAGAGAAGGAATTTAGAAGGTCAACTAGAGAAGCTCAACCAGCATAATTTGTATCAACAGCATAATTTGACTTTTTAGTTCAGATTGTCTCTGCTACTTGATACTAATGTAAAGTGTTACTCAAATTGCTTTTTTTCTGGATCAGCAGCAGCATTACATGGAGCTTTTTAGAAGTATAAATTCTCATTTCCTATACTGCAAACCCTGGTGGTATAGTGGCTAAGAGTTACAGCTGCTAACCAGAAGGTTGGCAGTTTGAATCCACCAGGCACTCCTTGGAAACCGTATGGGGCAGTTCTGCTCTGTCCTATAGAGTCGCCCTGTCCTATAGGGTTGCTGTGAGTCGGAATTGACTCGATGGCAACGGGTTTTGTTTTTTTTTTTATTTATACCAGATCTACTGAATCAAAATATCTGGTGCAGGGGCCAGAAGTCTGTTTTAACAAACTTTTCAGGTGATTCTTATGCACAACTGTTAAAGTAAACACTGCAAAATGGACCTTAGAGTAATAATGGTAGTGGAGAAAAATATTTTTTTTAAATGTATTTACCAAAAGCTTCCTTAGCCTTTAGTTACGTGGATCTCTTTGCAGTGTTTGCTGTTGAAAAACTGTCACCGAAATGTTAACCGTTTACCAAGACTAATCAAGGAAAACATATAAGAGATTAAAAATTGGTGAGATGCATTCAATAGTAGATCAAGTGGATCAAGAAAAAAAAATGGAAGAACAAATGGCCTTATTTTGTATAACAGTTTTCTTTACATTTGCTTCCATAGAAAAATGACTCTTCGGACACTAAGAGCTGCTTATATATTTATTCTGTAATTCTAGGAAAGCGTGTGCATTGAAATACCTCTCTCAAATCCAGAAGACAGAATTATTCACTTAGATGTCCAATTAACAAATCCGGCCCTTAGTGGACTCAAGAGACTTACACTGAATCCACTAGAATTTGTCAACTATGTTGCCAGGTATTCTCCAGCGACTACAGGCTGTAGTGAGGAAAGGTATGGTTTGCATGTTGCATATATATTTCATTGTTAATTCCTTGAAATAGGCTTTTAAAATTATCATTATTTCTTTGTATGCTATAATCATTAAGATTATACTTGCTCATAGTTTTAGCTTTGTGAAATTGCATTCCTTGATAAAAATGTACTACTTTAGAATTACCTTTCCTTTTCTTCAGTGCAAAAAATTATTTCTTGAAATATCACATCAAATAATTAATTCCTAAATTTCTCCTACACCCCCCTCTTTCACTTAATTTGCATGACCTAAGTCTTTCTAGGTTTAAATCTGAACCAAATGAAAATGATTTCACAAGGACTAGGGATGAAACTTTCAATTTCCTTGATGAAAAAAGTTTATATATTCTCCATTAAAGAGAAATTATCCATTTGGAGAAAATTAAAAAAATTAAATTAAGAATGCTATACTATGCTGAAAACCCATGTATGTGTGTATGTGTGTGTATCCACACGTATATACATATATATGTATATCTGTATATATCCACACATGTATATATTAGCAGTGTAATGACAAGTGTACTTATAGTATGTTAATTGTGAAAAACTTTCTTTGCACTGTAGATATATAAGTGCACATAAGAATATATAACCTCTATATTCATAATTAGTATAGTAAAATAATCAACTTTATTTGTTTAAAAAGTAATATTCAATTTATTATCATTTTAAAGACTATAATTGACTTAGCATTGGTTTGTACAATAAATTTCATTATTATTCTACATGAAAATGCCCTTTGCCAGTTTATATCTTTTTTCCAAGTAATGATAATTCTTACTGGTACTTGTAGCACAGTAGTATCATATCATTGAAACAAAATAATTGTTATTTTAATAAATGGATGAATAAATGAATACATTTGTGAATTTTTTTTTTTACAAAGTGGAGCATGAATATAAGAATATAACATATTGTAACAGGCACTATTTTGATAGATTAGAAATGTAGGCTGGTCTTGTCTCCCTATTGTGATTATATGGGCTTTGTGAGCAGAAATGGAATCTTGGATTTTCTTTATCAGCATACATTTAAAGACATAATCTTAGCCAATATTCCTTGACTGCCTACTCTGTTGTTGTCACTGGGCCCTGTATTTTATACACGTAAACACATAAAATTCCCATAAGAGGTAGGAATGATTCTTTCCATTTTATAAATGATAAAATTGAAGTTCAAAGAAATTAAGTGGCTTGTCCAAGGTTACACATATATAATGGGTGACAGAGCTGATATACCAGCCCAGGTATACTTTTAAATTATCCCAAGCCCTTTCTCCCCTAGAGCTCAGCACATGCTGATTATAAAGGAAACCCACCAGAGCTGCGGGTTACTTGATCTTCATGTGGAAATATACATGTGTTCAATTCAACAAACTAAAATCAATTTAATCACAGTTAGAAATCAGGACTTTTCCTGTTATAGCTCCTGCAAGGCATTTAAATTACTTATGTTTAAGCATTTTTCATTGATTCAGCAGGCATTTATTAAACAGATATTAATGACCATGACCGTGTTTTTCTTGGGTAACAAATGATGACATGATTTTCTCACCACAAAAAGAGAAATTTAAAAATGTATCCACAATGAGAGTAGAATATGTCATGGAGCAGTTGTCAATTAATGTATTTCAAACCACCTGTTTCTACCAAAGGAGCCCTGGTGGCATAGTGGTTAAGAGCTCGGCTGCTAACCAAAGGGTTGGCAGTTTGAATCCATCAGCTGCTCCTTGGAAACCCTATGGGGCAGTTCTGCCCTGTCCTGTAAGATCGCTGTAAGTTGGAATTGACTATGAGTCCATTAACTATGAGTCAGAATTGATTTGAAGGCAATGGGTTTGGTTTCTACCAATTTGGAACGTTTTTTCTGCCAAATTTATTATACAAATTTATTTGCATAATAATATTTATTATTTTATTGTTATTATTATTATTTATTGTACAAATTTATTATACAAATTAAAATCACTGACAAGATTTCATATATTTCTTTCCACCAGTGTTATTTTTCAGCCTGATGTAACTCTAGAGTTCTGGTATTTACTAAGATTAACTATTGAATTACCAAAACCAACCAGGATGCCAGAAGTACAGTGTGACCTTGGAAAGTAAGTTGATTTAATAGATAAAATTATTTCATGCAAAAAAATAGATAATCTAACAGTATTTTACAATACATTTAGTATTTGAATAAAAAATAAAAATATTTTCAATAACTACTTTTCTTTTCCAGAGTACATTTGATATGTAGACTACCCTGTAGAAAACTTGGTTAATGCCATTTTCCCTCGAGATATGACCATTCATATTGTCAAACCAACAAAACAAAGATGGAGTCATTTAAACAAATGTTTATTAAGTAGCTAAATCTGCTAGCAGACGCGCAGTCTGCCCAAATTTGGTGTGAAGTTCTCACTTAGAAAGGAAAGGGAGAAAGAGCTTCTAACACAGAAATTCTAGGTGATTGGTTACGTGAGAAGTCTTTAATTTTTGAGAAAGGATTATAAAAGCAGGGAAAGAGAATTCATTGAGTATTTTGAGAAATTCTCCACTTATCATTGGTTTGGCTTCGGTTGACTGAGTCAGAGAGAACCTAATTGACAGGCTGATACAAGCCAGACTTTCTGAGTCACAATTAGCGTCCTTCACAGTTAAGGGCCTGCTATCTCTTGTGAGAAGTCTGACTTTATCCAGGACACCTAGCATAAATTTGATGGTGCATTGAAATACAGCCCTTAAGAAATACTTGAAACTGCTGTGAGGTTAGCCAAATATAATGGCTTGAACACTTAACAGTATTTATTCATTTAGGTGTTCAACTGCTTATTACATGTCTAGCACCCAGTTTGGTGCCAGTGAATAAGGATAAACAAGTCACCATAGGACTTCCTTTTTTTTTTTTAATGAAAAATACTTTGAAGAGTATTTGCTCTAGTGGGAAAATCAAAACCTTTTCTTACCACACCAAAGGAGCCCTGGTGGTGCAGTGGTTAAAAGCTACAGCTGCTAACCAAGAGGTCAGCAGTTTGAATCCACCAGCCACTCCTTGGAAACCCTGCCGGGCAGGGCAGCTATAGGGCAGTTCTACCTGGCCCTATAGGGTTGCTATGAGTCGGCATTGACTTGAGGCGTTGGATGTGGATTGGTTTTGGTTCCACACCAAAGGAGCCCTGGTGGCACAGTGGTTAAGCAATCAGCTGCTAACCAAGAGGTCAGCAGTTTGAATCCACCAGCTGCTCCTTAGAAACCCTATGGGGCAGTTCTGCCCTGTTCTATAGGGTTGCTAGGAGTTGGAATCGACTAAACGGCAATGGGCTTGGCTTGGTTTTTTTTTTTTTTTTAATGTTATAGGATTTTATTTAAATGTATTTCAAAAACCATAAAATAGTGGTTACATGGGGGACAGGAAAAAGTGATTATAGAAGGGGAATTGAGGATTCTTCTGGAGTGTTCTTTATGTTTTCTTTTTTTTAAAATTTTTTTATTGTACTTTAGGTGAAAGTTTACAGAACAAATAGTTTCTCATTAAACAATCAGTACACATATTGTTTTATGACATTGGTTAACAACCCCACAACATGTCAACACTCTCCCTTCTTGGCCTTGGAGAACCTTTTTTTTTTTTTGGTGAAAATATACATAGCCAAAGATACACCATTTCAAAAAATTTCTACACGCACAGTTCAGTGACATCGATTACGTTCTTCCAGTTGTGCTGCTGTTCTCACTATCCTTTTCCAAATCATTCCATCACATTTGTCTTCAACTCACTGTCCCCTAGGATTCCCATCAAACCATTTGAGTTTCTGTTGTCAATTTGATCTCACATAGATAATTCTTTTTTGTTGTTGTACTTTAGATGAAGATTTACAGAACAAAATAGTTTCTCATTAAACAGTTAGTACACATATTGCCCTATGACACTGGTTAACAACCCCACGACCTGTCAACATTATCCTTACTCAACCTTGGGTTCCCTATCACCAGCTTTCCTGTCCCCTCCTGCCTTCTAGTCCTTGTCCTTGGACTGCTGTGCCTCATTAGTCCCGTTTTGTTTTATGGGGCTGTCCAATACCTGGCTGAACGGCGAACCTCGGGAGTGACTTCACCACTGAGCTAAACGGGTGTCCGGGGGCCATAATCTCGGGGTTTCTTCAGTCTCCTTTAGGGCAGTAAATCTGGTCTTTTTTGTGTGTGTTAGAATTTTCTTCTGCATCCTTCTCCAGATCTGTCCAGAACCCTCTGTTGTGATCCCGGTCAGAGCAGTCATTGGGGGTAGCCGGGCACCATCTAGCTGTACTGGACTCAGGCTGGTGAAGGCCTTGGTAGCTGTGGTCTATTAGTCCTTTGGACTAAACTTTCCCTTGTATCCTATTCTCTTCATTCTCCCTTGTTGTCAAAGAGGTGAGACCAGTGGAGTGTCTTAGATGGCCACTCACAGGCTTTTAAGACCCCAGACACTACCCACCAAGGTAGAACGTAGAACATTGTCTTATAAACTGTGTTATGCCAATTGAGCTAGATGTTCCCCAAGACCATGGTCCCCACAGCCCTCCGCTCAGCAATTCAGTCCCTCAGGGAGTTTGGAAGTGTCTATGTAGCTTCCATGACCTTTCCTTGTACAAGTTGTGCTGGCTTCCCCAGTATTGTGTACTGCCTTACCCTTCACCAAAGTTACCACTTATCGATTGTCTATTTAGTATTCCCCCCAACCCCTCTCATCCCTTGTAACCAACAAAGATTGTTTCTTTTTGTGTGTAAACTTTTTCATGAGTTTTTACAATAGAGGTTTCATACAATATTTGTCTTTTTGTGATTGACTTATTTCATTCAGCATAATGTCCTCCAGTTTCATCCATGTTATGAGATGCTTCAGAGATTCATTGTTGTTCTTTACTGCTGTGTAGTACTCCACTGTGTGTATGTACCACAGTTTGTTTATCCATTCATCTGTTGATGGGCAGCTAGGTTGTTTCCATCTTTTTGCTATTGTGAACAATGCTGAAATGAACATGGGTGTGCTTATGTCTATTCGTGTGACGGCTCTTATTTTGGATATATTCCTAGGAGTGGGATTGCTGGATCGTATGGTATTTCTATTTCTAGCTTTCTAAGGAAGTGCCATATCATTTTCCAAAATGGTGGTATCATTGTCTTAGTGATCTAGTGCTGCTGTAACAGAAATACCACAAGTGGATGGTTTTAACAAAGAGAAGTTTATTTCTTTACAGTAAAGTAGGCTGAAAGTCCAATTTCAGGGTGTCAGCTCCAGGGGAAGGCTTTCTCTCTCTGTTGGCCTTCTCGTCAATGTTCCCCTGGACTAGGAGCTTCTCCACGCAGGACCCCAGGTCAAAAGGACGTGCTCTGCTCCAGGCACTGCTTTCTTGATGGTATGAGGTCCCCCCTGTCTCTCTGCTCACTTCTGTCTTGTATATCTCCAGAGATTGCCTCAGGACACAATCCAATCTTGTAGATTGAGTCCTGCCTCACTAACACAACTGCCGCGCATCCTCCCTCATTAACATCATAGAGGCAGGATTTACAACATAGGAAAATCACACAATACCTGGAATCATGGCCCAGCCAAGTTGATACACACATTTTTGGGGGGACATAATTCAATCCATGACAATCATTATGCATTCCCACCAGCAGTGCATAAGAGTTCCAATCTCCCCGCAGTGTCTCCAACATTTGTTATTTTCAGTGTTTTTGATTTGTGCCACTAATGCCAGGGTGAGATGGTATCTCATTGTGGTTTTAATTTGCATTTCTCTAATGGCTAGTGATCTGGAGCATTTCCTCATGTTTCTGTTGGGTGCCTGAGTGTCTTCTTTGGTGAAGTCTTTGTTCAGTTCCTTTGCCCATTTTCATCGGATAACTTGTCTTTTTGTTGTAGAGGTGTTAGATTTTCTTGTAGATTATAGAGATTAAACCTTTCTCTGACTTGTAATGTCCAAAACTTTTTTCCCAGTCTGTAGGTTCTCCTTTTACTCTTTTGGTGAAGTCTTTTGAAGAGCATAGGTATTTGATTTTTTAAAGATTCCAGTTATCTAGGTTATACTTATGGTTTGTATCCTGTTAATGCCCTCTATTAGGGCCTCTAGCATTGATCCTATTTTTTCTTCTATGAATGTTCTAGTTTTTGGCTATATATTTAGGTCTTTGATCCATTTTGAA